CTAATATGACGTTTAGTCAAGTGGTTGAACAAGGCTTGAAGGGGGAGAAAGAGTGGGAGGAAAGGAAACGAAGGAATGCCGAGGAGGCAAAGAAAAGAAAATGGGAGAACCATGGCCCTCAAGGTTCCAACAAGAAGGGGAACCACGGGGGAGGCGGATCCTTCATAACCCCTGCACCACCGGTAAGGGGAAATCAATGCCCGAGCGGGCAAAGCTCTGTGTCACAAGGCTCAGGCGTAAAGAAGTGCAGCAACTGCAAGAAGAACCACTTTGGCAAGTGCCGCGATCCCCCGAGGTGCTATCAATGCGGGGAGGTCGGGCATTTGAAGGTGAGTTGCCCACAACTTGGGCGAGCCATGGGGGCCGGACCAAGCAGTGGAACGACGGTGAGCAGGAACCGAACCGGAGCACCAAATGCTAACGGTGGGCACGGTGGGGCGAGTGCCAGCAACGCGCCATCCGTAAATCAAGGAAGGACCCAAGCTTGGGTCTATGCTATGACGGAGGCGGATGCTCGTGCCAACCCGGACTCCGTTGCGGGTAATTCCTTAAACTCACGTATTAATTTTCATAAACAATAGGAGTGTGGAACTTGTAAAATTATAACCCCGACGAGTTTGGTCGGGTTTGAGGGGGAAAAGGGGAGGAGAATCCTCGCCCTGGGCGGATGCCGCCCGGCATTGACGAAAGCCGCCCGGCTTTCGTCTTGATTTATTGGAACAAAAACTACGGCAACGAATGCCGGACGGCTTCCACCAAGAGCCGCCCGGCTTTCATATATATTAAATCAGCAATTTTCCTCGCAAACGAAAACCGGTCGGCTTTCACAGAAACCGTCCGGCATTTGGAACATTTATTCCGGAATAACCTGCGGCGCTCAAAGGCGCCCGGCTTTGGTGAAAGCCGCCCGATTTTCGCTAGGCCTGGGGATTCCTGCGCTGCTGAAACCCGACCGGGTTTCGTAGAAACCGGCCGACCCTGAAATCCATTCCCTGAGTAAAACTACGGCGACGAAAACCGGCCGGCTTTCGTGAAAGCCGCCCGACTTTCGTGATTCTCATACAGGGATTTTTCTCGCAGATGAAAACCGGCCGGCTTTCGTGAAAAGCGGCCGACTTTCACCTAGTTGGGTCCTAGAACAGCCCTAAAGGCTAGAAACCGGGAAATTTCGGAAGGGTATCGAACGGACTCCACCCGAAACACGACCAACATACTCTACGACTTAAGAAACAAGCCTATTGATTAGATAGTGTGTCTTACATTACTTATGAATGTAGGAACACTAAAGATAAACGGGAGAGACGCAAGGATCCTTATTGATACCGGGGCGCAACGATCATTTGTGAGTGAGGCGTTCGCCAACGGATTCAACGGACCACTTGTACCGATGACTCAAACCCTATTGGTATCCACGCCTCTAGGGGATGATATCGAAAGGGATAGCCACTATCCATCGTGTGAGGTGGAGGTGGAGGGACATAACTTGACGTGTGACTTCGTACCGCTGAGCATGATCGAGTTCGACGCGATCCTCGGGATGGATTGGCTAGAGAAGCATCATGCTAGGGTTGATTGTTATACGAAGGTTCTCGAACTCGAAAGCGGTGAAGGTTGGACCTTACGCTTCGAGGGTGATAGAGGCAAATCAAACAGTTGTATCATATCCGCCGTGAGAGCGAGGAATATGATGAGAAAAGGATGCCACGCATATCTAGCTTATGTGGTGGACAAAACCAAAGAAGACGTAGACATCAACGATGTGAGAGTTGTGTGCAAGTATCCGGATGTCTTCCCAAAAGACTTGTCGGGGCTTCCACCCGATAGGGAGATTGAGTTCGTGATCGAGGTTGAACCCGACTCCAAACCAATCTCTATACCGCCATACAGAATGGCACCCGCTGAACTTAACGAGTTGAAAACCCAATTGCAAGAGCTATTGGACAACGGTTTCATAAGGCCGAGTCACTCCCCGTGGGGAGCACCGGTCCTTTTCGTGAAAAAGAAAGACGGAACACTTCGAATGTGCATTGACTATCGTCAACTTAACAAGGTCACAATCAAGAATAGGTATCCGTTGCCTAGGATTGATGACTTGTTTGATCAGCTCCGAGGGGCGATGGTATTTTCGAAGATTGACTTGAGGTCGGGGTACCAACAACTGAAGATAAAAGAGGATGACATACCGAAGAGTGCATTCCGCACAAGGTATGGTCATTTCGAGTTCCTAGTTATGTCGTTCGGGTTAACTAACGCCCCGGCGGCATTTATGGACTTGATGAACCGAGTATTTCATAAATACTTGGACCGGTTTGTGATTGTGTTCATAGATGATATCTTGATTTACTCGAAGAGTGAAGAAGAGCATGAAGAGCACTTGATACTTGTTCTTGAGACACTACGGGAGAAGCAACTCTATGCTAAGTTTTCCAAATGTGAATTTTGGCTAAGAGAGATTGGCTTTCTCGGGCATGTGGTTTCGGGATCAGGGATTGCCGTAGATAACAAGAAGATTGAGGCCATTACTGAATGGGAGAGGCCAAAGAACGTCAAGGAAATTCGTAGCTTCCTTGGATTGGTAGGGTACTACCGAAAATTTGTGGAGAAGTTCTCAGTTTTGGCATCTCCATTGACAAAGCTCACTCGAAAGGGGGCCAAGTTTGTATGGGATGACCGATGTGAGAAGGGATTCCTTGAACTGAAGAAGAGATTGACCGAGGCACCGGTACTCGCACTACCCAAACAGGGTGTGGGGTACGATGTCTACAGTGACGCAAGCATCCAAGGGCTTGGATGTGTCTTGATGCAGAATGGGAGGGTGATTGCCTATGCTTCACGACAGTTGAAGAAGCATGAGGTAAATTATCCCACTCATGACTTAGAGCTGGGGGCGGTGGTGTTCGCATTGAAGTTTTGGAGACATTATCTCTACGGGGAAACATGTCATATATACACCGACCACAAAAGCCTGAAGTACGTGTTTACTCAGAAAGAGTTAAACATGAGACAGAGACGGTGGATGGAGTTGATAAAAGACTACCATCTAGTTATCGAGTACCACCCCGGTAAAGCCAACGTGGTAGCGGATGCCTTGAGCCGAAAGAATTCATCTGGGGCATTATTGACTAGCTTGAGGGCATTGAGAGCCCAATTGGAGGTATCTAGCGATGGTGCCTTGTTAGCTAGATTCGAGGTGAGACCTACATTACTTGATGAAATCAAGAAGGGTCAAGAAACCGACGAAGAACTTATGAAGATCCGTGAACGCATGCTAGCGGGACCGGTTGAGGATTTCAGGGAGAGAGACGATGGTCTCTTATTATTTCGTGACCGAGTGTGTGTACCGTTGGATGATGAGCTCCGAAAGTCCATCTTAGAGGAGGCTCATTCATCAGCGTATGCCATGCACCCGGGAGGCACGAAGATGTACCGTGATTTGAAGGAAAGTTACTGGTGGTCGGGTATGAAGAGGGAAATAGCCGAGTACATCGGTAGGTGTCTTACTTGTCAGCAAGCTAAGGCAGAACATCAGCATCTGGCTGGGTTACTACAGCCACTTTCCATTCCTGAATGGAAGTGAGAGCACGTGACTATGGATTTCGTGGTGGGGCTGCCACGGACGATTAAGAACTATGATGCTGTATGGGTTGTGGTCGATAGGCTCACAAAGAGTGCACACTTTCTACCTATCAACACCACCTATGCACTGGAGATGTTAGCCAAGTTGTATGTGGATGAGATCGTGAGGCTACATGGGGTTCCTATAACCATTGTATCCGATAGAGATCCGCGATTCACATCACGATTTTGGCCGAAATTCCAAGAATCTATGGGGACAAAGTTGAAATTCAGTACAGCTTTTCATCCACAAACGGATGGGCAATCTGAGCGGGTTATACAGATATTAGAGGATATGCTGAGAGCCTGTGCATTGGAGTTCCAAGGGAGTTGGGACAACCATTTGTCACTTGTGGAGTTTGCCTATAACAACAGTTATCAGGCAAGTATAGGCATGCCTCCATACGAGGCATTGTATGGGAGGAGATGTCGTACACCATTGTGTTGGGATGAGGTTGGCATGGCCAAACTCGAGAGCACGGAATTGGTGGAGATCACCAAGTCTAAGGTGAAGATGATTCATGCGAGACTTAAGGCGGCCCAGGATAAACAGAAAAGTTATGCCGATAAGCGCCGAAGAGCCTTGGAGTTTAAGGTGGGAGATGAAGTATTTCTGAAAGTTTCCCCTTGGAAGGGAATCATCCGATTTCAGAGTCGAGGGAAACTTAACCCACGATACATAGGGCCATTCGTGGTTCTTGAGAGGATTGGGGCCGTGGCATACCGATTACAGTTGACTCCAGAGTTGGAGAAGATACATAATGTATTCCACGTGTCCATGCTTAAGAAGTATATGCCGGATCCATCTCATGTATTAGAAAAACCACCCGTGGAAATACGGGAAGACTTGAATTATGCCGTGCAACCGATGAAGATACTTGACAGGCAAGTCAAGAAATTGAGAAGCAAGAAAGTTCCAATGGTTAAAATCCTTTGGAAAAGTGACCGAGTTGAGGTGGAAATTGGGAGACGGAAGCTTTGATGAAAGAGCAATACACGTTTTTGTTTGAATGAGCATTGTGAATTTCGGGGACGAAATTCCCGTTAAAGGGGGGTGAACTTGTAACACCGACCCCGAGCATATTTACTTTTAGTAAATTATGTAATAAACCTTGAAAGATGATTTATGAATTTGCGTAATTGTTAAATTTCATCATTTCTTTTACGTGAATAGTAAATTGCATGTGGGGCCCACAGCGGGAACGTGGACCGCCCGATAATTCCGGAACCACATATTATATTCATCTTGGTCTAGATGACACCTATATGGGGGTGGATATTTTATTTGGGCCATAAGAAAGGCATGGAGTTGACCGGTTGGTCAAACGGGGCCCAATTACCGATATTGGCAATTTAACGGATAACAGCCCGAAATGAGTTTCGGAGACTCCTAAATTAATGTTGGGGAATATACATCTATTCTAAAGGCCCATAATTATTAGGAACACGTGATATATTTTATTTGGCCCGATAAAATAAAATATGATTAAAACGGACCGAGAAATACAACTTTCGGGGCCGATTGTACACACCGGGACGTAATGGGATGACCTCCCACATAAGTGGGGGCCACCCCACGTTTTTATGGGTGCTGATTGATCAAATAATGGGGGAGGGGAGCAGCTAAACGTGCTGGTACGCACAAGGGAGAGGGAGGAAGTCTCCTTTGAGACAAAAACCCATGCTAGGGTCCTATCCCACACAAATCATTGTGTTGGTTGAAAAGGACCTCTCCCCTACCCTCTCTTCAATCCATTCGGCCAGCACAAGGGAGATAAGGTCCAGGGAAAAGGCTCTCAAAGTTCTGGAGCTGAAGAAACCAAGAGGAGAGAAGGATCCAAGAAGAAAAGCTAGAAGAAGAGGGTAAGAACACAATTTTTACTCTTTTAACTAGTTTTATTGTGCATGATTTTTAAGAAATCATATGGTGGATTAAATCATGAGTTCTACACGTTTAAAAGTTTAATATTGATATGAAGTGGTGGTAATTAACTTAGGAGGGTTGGCCAATTGATAGGAGTCGAAACCGCCGGAAACCGCCACTTCAAAGGAGCTAGTCGTAGTGGCAGACCACGAAAGCCGCCCGGCTTTTGCCCAGCAGTTCAGTTCTACACCTTCAATCGGCCTAGAACGGGGATTGATCGAGGGGCTTAGCAAAGGCAACTATTTCAGCACTTCATAAGGTGAGGATGTCTGACTATATTGCTTATAATTAGTGAGTTAATTTCATGAGATTACCGAAGGTAATTAAATGTGTTTTTATGGATTATTAATGATTAATAATGCCTAAAAATGAAAAGACTAAATGTCTAAAGAAAAGGAGCATGATATACAAATTTAAGAGTAAATTGTGTATGTTCATGTGTTATGAGTATGTTGACTTGAAAGTGGAATTTATTATGAAACATATGTTGAAATATACTTTTTTCTTCATATTAGAATATATGAGTGATTAAAAGTGATATTTTGAATATTGAGATAAATGATATTTTCAAAGGAAAATCAGTTGGAATTGTCTATATGACTATGAGTCGAGAACTTGGTTTGTTGATATTAATTTGACAAGTATTAAGATACTAGTTGGACATTAAAATGAAATGTTGTTAAGATTGATCCTAAGGTTGGATTGTGAAATGTTATGCCTTAAGTAGTCTTAAGAGATGCTTTAAGGTAGGAAAGTATGAACTTTAAGTTATACTAGGGGTAGGCCTTAAGGGATACCCAAGATAATGTAAATATTAAATTGATCCTAGATATAGGATTGGCCTACGGGTGTGCTCGGTAGTCCTTGTGGATAACCGGTTGAATTATGAAAATAAGTAAGGACCATGGCCCTCCCTGACTCTAGAGAGCGGGGTTGGATAGCATGGACTTACATCGTGATCACGGGTTAGGGTGGAATCCGAATCGGAGACCTAACTAGGTTCCGGTAGCGGTAACACATAAGATAGGACCCCGAAGGGCCTTACCTTCCTACGGGATGATGGGTACGAGTCCAGGGGCGGGATGTTGGAGTCCGAACCGGGAGCCTCATGAGGTCTCGGACAGCGGTAGCAAGTCCCGTAGAAATAATAGGACCCAAGGGTTGGGTTGTGCAAAATGATAAATAAAAAGGGATATATAAGAAGGGCCGTGTGCCGACGAATAAATAAATTTACTTATTATAAGGATAATAAGTGGGAAATATAAATTATTATTTATATTATGATATCACCCTATTTTGAGGGTCTTGGAAATTAAAACGTTGATTATACTTAGTATAGTTGCTATTGTACTTGTCAAATATTTCCAAGTACTGACCTCCCCTTCACGGGGGAGGCCACCTCACAGTTTCAGGTAGGTCTTGAAGGTTGCTACCGGTGCCCATTGCTCGGGATATTCAGAGGAGAAGACGTGGTTCGTGCTTCTTCTGTTTTTCTGATTTCAAAAACAATTATAATAATGCTCATGGATATTATTTTGAATAACTATTTGGGGGCTTGCATGCCCATGTATGCCAAAGTGTGGCTAAGACACTTTTATTAAATGCTTCCGCTGTTTTAATTGAATGTTTTACATTATGTTTGTTTATGGATGTACTATGTGTGAATGATATTCATGACGCCTTGTATAGTTTGGATGAGTTGGGCTGCGGTTGACTATTCGTACTGTACGGCGGGTTGTTGACGTGTTCGGCTAGGTCCGGGGCGTGACAGAGGTAGGGTCGGAACACACGGTTCATGAGGTCCATAAATACCGTAGGCGCATTTGTTAGTCCGAACGGCATCACGGTGAACTCATAGTGTCCGTACCTCGTTCGAAAAGCTGTCTTCGGAGTGTCTTTCTCAGCAATCCTCACTTGATGGTACCCGGATCTCAGGTCAACTTTGGAGAACGTGCTAGCCCCCTTCAGTTGATCAAAGAGGTCATCAATGCGAGGCAACATATATTTGTTTTTGACGGTTGCTTTGTTCAACTCCCTATAATCGATGCAGAGTCTCAAGCTCCCATCCTTCTTCTTTACAAACAAGACCGGAGTGCCCCAAGGTGAGACACTTGGTTTGATGTAGCCCTTCTCCAACAGTTTTTCGAGTTGTTCCTTTAGCTCTTGCATTTCTTTTGGTGCCATTCGATATGGTGCCTTCGAAATGGGTGCGGTGCCCGGCACCAGATCAATTGAAAACTCGACTTCCCTCTCCGGCGGCATCCCTGGAATTTCTTCCGGAAATACATCCGGAAATTCATTGACCACAGGGATTTGGTCAATGGTCGGCTATTCAGATGTTAAGTCTTGGATCATGTATAAGTAAACTTCATACCCCTTCCGGACATATCGTTTGACTTGTTGCATGGTTGCCAGCTTCACGCTCGGCTGAGATGTAACCATTTTGTAGGATACACGCTTCTTGTGGGGTCCTCTCAAGACCACCTTTTGTTCATCACAAAGAATCCTCACCTTATATTTTCCTAGTCAGTCCATTCCCAACACCACGTCAATATCCTCCGAGTCAAATTGGATTAGATCTCCGGGTAGTTCGGTATCGGATATGACTATAGAAACATTGGAGAAAACACTCCCGCAAGCTACAACTTTATTAGATGCTGTTTTTACATTAAGATTGAGTGTAGCGGTAGGTTCTAACTTTAACTTTTCCACAAGTTTTGAGGATATAAAACTGTGGGATGCACCCGAATCAAACAGTACATGAGCAGGTGTGGAATTTACAAGGAATGTACCTGACACCACGTTGTTGGCATTTGCCTGAGCTTGGTTCATGACATAGATTCGGCCTTGGTTATTGTTCTTCCCTCCCTGGCCCTGGTTACGGTTGCCTTCCGCTGGACGGTTGCCGGGGTTACCACGGTTACTGTTAACATGATTACCCCCACCCCCGGCTTGGCCATTCCCCTGATTGTGCACCCCTTGGTTTTGGCCCTGGGTTTGGGGCCTCTTCTCCTTCCGGCACTCATATGCCCTATGCCCCATGAGGTTGCAGTTGTAGCACTTCACCGGATTACCTGCGCAATCTGCTCCAGGGTGGTTGTTCGGGCAGAGTTTGCACTTGTAATACCGTGTCTGGTTAGGCTGGTTTCTCCCCTGACCCTGGCCTTGGAATATTCTCCCGCCTTAATTGTTTTGCCAGGGCTCAGGGCGGTCAGTTCTGGCCTTCTTGTGCTGCTGCTCCACCTCACCATTCTTTCGATCCCTCTTATGTGCCTCCCTCTCCTTCTGGTGTACCATGTAGTACTTACCAGCCTTCCTATATGCCTCATTCAGATTTCGTGGCTCTGCTACAGTCACAAACTTTTGGGCACCGTAGTTAAGCCCGTTAACAAATCTGCGTGTCATACTGCCCTTGGTTGACACTAGATCTTTGGCGAAACAAGCCAATTGGACGAACTTCGTGTGGTACTCCTGAACAGTCAGGTCACCTTGCTTGAAATCGACGAATTCGTCATAATTTGCCTCTTTCACGTGATCGGGGTAGAAGCGGTCACGTAGTGCTACTTTGAAGTCCTCCCAGCAAAAGCCCGGTTGCTCGAGAAGTGTTGGTCCATTGGCGGCCCACCAATGGTCAGCTTCCTAGTGTAGGTAATACACCGCAATATTTACTCGTTGCTCCCACGGACAGTTGAGGGAGTCAAAGAGTTTGTCAAAGGTACGAGCCCAGTCCTCCAGAATAAGATGGTCCTCCTCGCCCAGATATTTCGGGGGGTTACGCCCGGCTACCCTTGTAGCGTAGTCAATCCCATTGTTCTGGGGTTGAGCCGCTCCGATATGTCGTGCCATTTGTTGAATAGTTTGGGCCAACTCCTCAACGGTTGGGGTTGTAGGGGGGTTTCTTCTTGGCGGCATGATTCTTAATAAAGAAAACCAATACTAAGTACTAAGGCATACATAAGGCTTCTACTGTTGGAAGTATGCCCTAGGACAATCATACTTTATGATTTATCAATGAATATTTAATGCTCATTAATTAATAAAGTCACAAATTCATTTTATGTTAATTATTATTGTGAGTTTTCTTTATTAATATTTAGTCCCTGAATATTATGTTTAGTAGCTAATTAAGTACGTGACTTAATTTTGGAATGCTACACTTTAAAATAAGCATAATATTCTAATTGTCCATGGTCTAATATTATTAATCTGGGACATTAATAATTAATAGACCATTATGTGGATTAACTGATGGCTATATTCCACTAGTCATGGGTATAGAGATATCAAGTTAATAACATAGATGCTTGTTAGTGAACAAGTTCATTGGACAGACCCAACTTGAGGACACTGCTAGGTTATATGTCATCAATGTTGTCCTCAATAATGATGAGGTGCTATATTCTTATACTTGAGATAATCATGGTTACTTGCATGCAAATTAATATGTATTAACACCATTAAATATTATTTTAAATGGGTAATTATAAAGGTGGTGATTGTACATATTATGAACCGTGTAGTGGTAAGTGAATTATCAAGATAGTTTTTGTCACTCTCGTATAGCGAGAGAAAGATATCTATTGGGCCCCTTGACAAGTAAGATTAATTAGCATGGCCATGCTCAAATGAGGTGTCATTTGTTCAAAATTAATCTTACTTGGTAATCAAGAAATATTAATTGAGAATAACAAGGATGACATGACCTAACCTTGTCTCAATTAAGATATCGTTTGACAAAAGAGAATTATTAGCACAAATTAATCATTAAAAGGTTATGTCAGATTTAATTGACATTTATATATTTTGGATAGTCATAATGCCTTGTTAGAGGCCGCTTATGATTTGTGAGACTTGAATTAATTTTTTAACCCACTGTCAATAATATATAAACCTACAGGGTCACACACCTAAGTGATTTGGATCATTAATGTTTGTTAATAACATCAAAATAGCCTGATTAGCCCAATTTGAAATAAGGTTTCGAATGGTATTGGGCTAGGGCCTCTTGGAGGGTTTTATTAGCTATAAAACTCCTTCTTTCCTCCTCTTATAAATAGGGCTATATAGACCCACGAATTTTAAGAGTTAAAATTCACTTCTAAAACCTAGAGTAGAGAGGAAGAAGAGAACGCTAGCACGTTCCCTGCGGCCGATCCAATCACGTGCGTGTGGATACCGGTAGAGCTCGGGATCGTTTTCTCG